TGTGTGTGTGTGTATGTTTGTGTGTGTGTGTGTGTGTGTGTGTGTGTGTGTGTGTGTGTGTGGAGAGAGAATAAACCAGACCGCGAGAGAGATAGGTAGATGGAGAGAGAGAGAGAGAAAAAGAGAGAGCGAGAGAGAGAGAGAGAGAGAGAGAGAGGGGGAGAGGGAAAAAGAGAGAGAGACAAACAGACAGACAGACAGGCAGACAGACAGACAGAGAGGGACAGAAGAAAGGAGAAAGATAAATAAGACGACAGAGAGATACACCTTCTTAATAAATGTCGATTTAAATTAGTCCATTCATCAGGATAGATAACTTAAAAGCAGACAGACGACAGCTTGAACATGGACAGCAACAGCAGTCTCAGAGATAATGACATCTAAAAGCATAATAATAAATAAAATAAATGTCCCATCAGCTATAAATAATGCATTATATCAAATTTCTGCGAACCTCGCAAAATAAACATAGATAAATACACCTATAAAACCGCGGCTGTGATCCAGCCAATGATTACACAACAGTTTCAGTGCTTTATTGCTACTCCTTTTTACATCTCTCTCTCTCTCTCTCTCTCTCTCTCTCTCTCTCTCTCTCTCTCTCTCTCTCTCTCTCTCTCTCTCTCTCTCTCTTCTCGCGAAAGTGTCGTGTAAAAGGGTCTGAGTGTATCAAATAGGCATTGAGGTATATAATGTCGAAGAAGCCACCTGAGAAAAATGCCATGCTGAGGCCCTCCATACAAGCACGCGTGAACCGAACAGACAACATGCGGTAGAAAAACACCCAGTAGCGAGCCGATCACGAAGTAGGGATCTAGGTCAAGACGTAATTCCTTGGATTTTGTGCCAACAGATATGTTTTATTTTTATCCCCTATTCGTACCTGCCTCCCCCCCCCCTTTTAAAAACCTAAACAGCAACACAAAAAAACCCCAAAGGAAAAAAAAAGCAGTATAAACACCCCCCCCTTTAAAAAGACAAAACACAACAACAAAAATAAAACCATAAGAAACCTTGAATAAATCTTCTCCCACCCCTTCTCAGAATGTGAAACCACGAGCAAAATCAGCGACAAATAAATAAAAACACATTCAAAATAGAATAAAAGAAATTAAAACGAAAAGAATCCACAAAAAAGACACCCCCCCAAAAAAAAATAAAAATAAATCAGCAACAAAAGACAAAACATAATAACAAAGAAAAACCCGGACGAAAATAAAAAGACAAACAAAAACAATAATAACAACAACTCCT